TGAATAGACATGTAGAGCACAGATCTAGACACATTGTTACACATAATATATCGCAGGTATGACTAGCACATTGCAAAACAATCTGAGTGATTTACTGCCGGCATTGAAAGAGTTAAACTATGAAACTATTACAAATTATAAGCACAGAAAAGTTAATGTAAAAAAAAACTTGAGAATGCAGCACATGAGCTGGAATACAGATAGTTAATGGACACATTCCATCCAGCAGGGTGCGAGGGCTTGCTATACAGACCTGGACACAGATAGTAAATGGACACATTCCATCCAGCAGGGTGTGAGGGCTTTGCTGTACAGACCTGGACACAGATAGTTAATGGACACATTCCATCCAGCAGGGTGTGACTCTACAAGAATTGAAACCTGGATTTTCTGGCCCTTGGTTTCCAGTTTTATCAGCTGTCTTTCTGTAAATGATGCAACATATTTCTGGAGCGCGGTCTTTTCATTCTAAAGAGTAGAATTTATTAAAGACCTCATGAGTGAGAACTTTTGATTGATTTCTATATCATTTATAGGAAGAATGAGAGCAAATACATTCAGTTTCACAGACTGTATAATAGGAGACAGACACATTGTTACACATATAATAGATATATACTGTATGATTATAGATTATTATTATTATTTCCATTTATATAGCGCCAACAGATTCCGTAGCACTTTACAACATTATGAGAGGGGGGATTTAACTATAAATAGGACTATTACAAGAAAACTTCCTGGAACGATAGGTTCCATGGATTTTCGGCTATTTGAACAGCGTTTGGTAAGAACAAACTCCCGAAGGAGAAACATAGACTAAGTGCCATATAAACTCTCTACATTCGGTATTTTTATTGTTACTTCAAATCCCACAAAGTAGACCAACCTCACAGCCTAATTTTCTGGAACTGTTTTGAGCATGAAACCATGCGTTCGGTTGGTCAAAATGTGACTTCCATAACATTTCTGAACCCCTGAACTGATCTGGGTGATTTTTGGATATGTTGGTCACCCAGATCAGGGCTATCAGGAAATCGGAAAGCATCACTGGACAGGGGGAAAAGAATGGCTCAGGGGGCGAGTAGACAATTGGTGGCAAGAGGCAGCATGGTTTTTGTTCCCCAGAGAAGATGCTGATTTTGGATGCAATAACAGCCTAGCGGATGGAGAGTCAGTATGCACAACTGAAGCAATCCACACTAAAGGATATCTTGGAGAAACGTGGACGAACAGCGAACAATCATCCTAAGGGAGAACTGATACAGGAATTGCTGGAGATGGATAGTGCTAATGCTTTACCCGAACAGATGCTAACAAATGCAGGAGAAGACTAATGAATGCGGACCATTCGGTCACGACTAACCCTGTTTGGTCCCAACCCTCCCGCTGACATCATGATGCAGGTGATGGAAATTGTAGATGCATAGGAAAGAGCTAAACTAGAAAGCCAAGCCCAAGTAGCAGCAATTCAGCTCACTGAAATGTTCTGGGTGCAATGTCCTATTTGCACCCAGTGCTACAAAATTAAACATTGCAGTTCCAGAGAACTGCAATGTTTACATAGCAGCACTAAGTCTGCACTCAGTGGCTGTCTACTTAGCCAAAAGTATCCAGCCCAGGGATGTATTAGCTGCGAGGCAAACATCAGACAACCACTGGGGGCGCTTCCAGAATCGTAACGGTCCTTTGATCCAGCATCTGATGCTGGACGTCCTCACACTCTACAGGAGTACCTCCAGCGCCATATTTTTCCCAATAGGAACGCATTGATTCAATGCTTTTTCTATGGGGAGGTCTAATGAGTGTACTGTATTTGCCGCGGATACAAATTAGACACCGCTCGTTATGGGACGTCGGAGTGGGCTGAGCTTCAACCCAGCGCAGAGGGACATTGGCGCTGGGAAAAGGTAAGTAAATAAAGGGGCTTTGTATTCCCGGCACTACAGTATCCCTTTAAAATAAAGCAGTTTTTTTTTTATTCTCAAATAATCTAAGGATGGAGTTGGACACCAGAGATGTAAAGACCGGGAGACCAGGAGAATTATTCCCTATGACTAGGTTTCTCTTATCACAGTAAGGGTTTACGCTAATTACTGAATAGTCATTCCTCCACTGGAATCTGTAGGAAACTTGACCTTCAATATGCAAAATCCATAAATCCATTATCTGCCAAAAGGATCCAGCCCAGGGACGTATTAGCTGCGAGGCAAACAAGGCATTTGCCTTGGGCGGCATTTTCCAGGGGGCGGCAAAAAAAAAGCCGCCCCCAAATGCCCAGGGCAAATGTCTTGTTAGCCTCGTGGCTAACTGACAAGCCGGGCGGGTGGGCGGTCGGGCGGAGCTGGTGAGGGAGCACTTTCCCCTGAGCTCTCTGCTCAGCTCCCTCGTGCACCGCAGAGTGATGCTGGGAGCCGGAATATGATGTCATCAGCCCGGCTCCCAGCCTCACTGTGAGGCTGAGTTTGAGTTTCTGTTAGCTAGTGTATGCGTATCTGTCAATGAGTGTGTGTGTGTGTGTATTTAGAAGGCAGGGGAAGGGATGGGTGGGGGTCGCGCGCGCAGGGGGTGAGGGGGGGAGGGGTTGGGGGGCGCCTGAGTTTTGTCCTGCCTAGGGCAGCACAAAACCAGGATACACCACTGACAAGTACCCCAACATACTGGGAATAGTTTAATAAGGTGTTATTTTAGTCTCCATTTCCAAAAATGTATTCTTTTTTTTCATTGAAATACATTTTCTCTCTTAACCAGAAAACCTTTCAGCTAAATCATGAGTGGAAAACTTCAATCTACAACTCCAGCTAAAAAGCAGAAAACATCTGATAAGGAGAACAACGAGGAGAGACAAAGAACATTGAAAGAATGGTTTTCAACATTACAACAAAACAAATCTGAAAACTCTCAACCTGAAATTGTAAGTAACGCATGGAAATCTGGCTGAAAATTCAGTTTTCAATGTGACCGGCAGCATTTTCTCTGTTTCCAGAATCCGAGGAGGATTCATAATAA